TTTTTATTTTTTTTAGTCGAGTCCTGTCTACAGTGAAGGTCAGATAGGAAGCAGCAGATGGGAGGAAGAGGGTATGCCGTGTCTGGAACACATGAAGGGAGGGTAGAAGGGGAGGAGATGAGAGAGAGGGTGAGGGTAGGTGAGAGGGAGAGGAGAGAGAGAGAGAGAGAGAGGGGGAGAGAGAGGGAGAGGGAGAGAAGAGGGGAGAGAGGGGAGAGGGAGAGGGGAGAGAGAGGCGAGAGGGAGAGGGGGAGAGAGAGGGAGAGGGAGAGGAGGGAGAGAGAGGGAGAGAGAGGGAGAGAGAGAGGGGAGAGGGAGAGAGGGAGAGAGGGAGAGGGAAAGAGGAGAGAGGAGAGAAGGAGAGAGAGAGAGGGGAAGAGAGAGAGAGCGAGAGGAGAGAGAGGAGAGAGAGAGAGAGCGGAGAGAGAGGAGAGAGGAGAGAGAGAGAGAGAGGAGAGAGGAAGGGAGAGAGAGAGAGAGAGAGAGAGAGAGGAGAGAAGAGAGAGACGAGAGAGAGAGAGAGAGAGAGAGAGAGAGAGAGAGAGAGAGAGAGAGAGAGAGAGAGAGAGAGAGAGAGAGGAGGGGAAGAGGAGAGGGAGAGAGATGAGAAACGAGCAAGAACAAACGAGCGGGAGAGAAAGAGAATAGAAATAAGTAGGAGAAGCAAAGATAACAAGACTTAGATGCCGAGATTCGGTCCCTCATCCCCTCTTTCCCCCTCCCCCCCTCCCCCCCCCCCCCACACCAACCCTTTAAACCCCTAGACTCGACGAGAACCCGCCAGAACGCTTAAATATGTCAGGCATATAAAGTTGTCGAGCATATATTGCGCTCCCGGGAGGCAAATATCGCGAGTTTTATTTCATGAGGGTAAACACGACAACGAGAGAGGCCTTGCGCGGAAGCCCAGTCTCTAGATCCCAACACAATCAGGTCGCCGGGAGGAGAGAGAAGGGAAGGGGCAGAAGGGGAGGAAGGGAAGGGGGAAGAAGGAGGGGGAGGAAGAAATTTGAGGGAAAGAGAAGGAAGCTGGAGACGGAGGGAGGGCGGAGAGAGAAAGGAGGGAGGGAGGGAGGGGAAGGGAAGGAAGGGAAGGAAGGAAAGGCACAGGAAGGAAGGAAAGGAGAAAAGGGAGGAAAGACGGAGGAGAGAAGAAGCCAAAGGAGGAAAGGATGACAGGGAGAAAAAGGAGAGGAAGGTGATGCTGAAGGAAGGATATAGAGAAAGAATACGGGAAGGAGTGAGAAGAGGAGAATGGAAAGTGCGGAAGATGAGAGTAGGACAGGAGTGAAGAGGAAAAAGAGGAGAGAGGCGAAGGGATAAAGGAGAGAAGGAAGAGAAGGATGAGGAGCGAGGAGAACAGGCAGAAAAGGGAGAAGGAGGAAAGGATAAATTACAGAAAGGGAGATAAAAGAGGGAAAAAGAAGAAACCGTGTGAGGAAGAGGAAGTAAAGAAGTGAGAAAGGGAGAAGGAGAGGAGTGGAAGGAAGGTGGGCACAGGAGAGGAGGAGCGAGGGGCGAGGAGACTGAAGTAGGTCTATGAGGGGAAGAAGGAGGGGACGGACAGGCGAACGAAGGGTGAGGGGAAAAGGGGATCATTTTCGAAGACGGGAAGAGAGGCCGTAACGAGAATGCATCTGAGGGAAAGGTAAGAAGTGAGAGAGAGGAGAGAGAGAGAGAAGAGAGAAGAGAGAAATGAGAGAGAGAAGAGAAAAGAGACAGAGACAGAGACAAAACTACAAACAATACCACAATACCAATCCATTCTATACTTCCAAACGACACAACCACAATAAAAAATAAGAAAAAACACACACAAAAAAATCAACAAACAGCACGAAACATTAAAATAACCAAAAATAAACGCAAGCAAGTGAAAAATAGACGAGAGGGCGGCGCAGCGGCAGGGAGAGAGAGGAGGAGGCGAGAACCTAGTACAGAAGGAGCACAGAGGTAGAGGGTTCTTGGCTAACAATGGCGTGCGGCGAACATGAGTACTGGAGAACACCACCTCCTCCTCCTCCTCCTTATCTCACCCCTCCCCTCCTCTGCTTCACCTCTTTCTTCTCCCTCTCCCTCTCCTCTTCCTAATCCTCCTCCTCCTTTTTTTATTTTTCTCTTTCTTTTCCCTGCTTTTTCTTTTTCTTCCTTTCCTTCTCCTTCTCCATCTCCTCTTCCTAAAGCTACTTTTCCTCCCACTTGTTTTTCTTCTTCCTTTCCTTCTTCACCCCCTTCCCCTCTCCTTCTCTATCTTCCTCATATTTTTTCATTTTCCTCTTCCTCCTCTCTCCCTCCTTCCTCATTCTTCTTCTTCTTCTTCTTCTTCTTCTTCTTCTTCTTCTTCTTCTTCTTCTTCTTCTTCTTCTTCTTCTTCTTCTTCTTCCTCTTCTTCTTCTTTTCTTCTTCTTCTTCTTCTTCTTTCTTCTTCTTTCCTTCTTCTTCTTCCTCTTCTTCTTCTTCTCCTCTTCTTCCCTTCTCTTCTCTTCCTCTTCTTCTTCCTCTCTTCTTCTTCCTCTCTTCTTCTTCCGCTTCTTCTTCTTCTCTTCGTCTCTTCCTCATTCTTCTTCTCCTCTTCTTCTTCTTCCTCTTCTTCTTTTGCTTCTCTCCTCAGTTCCTCTTTACAATCATATACAATAACCATCTTTTCAAAAATCTTCAAATATAATACGAACCCAGAATAACAAAAGAAATGAAACAAGAAGGATCACTCAAGAACTGTTAAATTGAAGAAATTAACACCAACGAAAGTGTAGTTTTGATTTAGGACTATTACATCTTAACCCTTTGTTGCAACTCGGCCAATATACGCAGGTCATCACTCCATCAACCTGCCAATAGAAAGTATGGTTATAGGAGGCTGGATAAATTAATACAGAACCCAGTAATATTGTGTAATAATAATGAAGATAATAATAGTAATAATAGTGATGATGGCAATATGGCAAAATAATAATAATACGATGATTGTTAATGGCAAAATACTAATAGTGATAGTGATGATGATGATGATGTTATGGTGATTGATGATGATAATCAATTATGTCAGCGAAAACAAACAAATACTCTAAGACTTATAATAAGTAATAAATCGATGTGAATAGGCAAAATGCCCACAAAACACACCAACGACACACAACCGCAAATGGAACGAGAACAGAGAGGCCGCATTAGAAGGAAATGATAGACAAGTGCGATACGAGAGAAGACGAGAAGAAGTGCCTTGGGCTTCTCTCAAGGGTTGAAAAAAAGGTGAGGGGCGAAGAAGGCAGGAGGCGTCGGAGGCACCGTAAGTCCTGCTGGGCACACGAGCCTCGACCTCGAAGCCTCCCAATACGCCACGCACCCACGCGCATTTTTTCTCTTTTCTCTCTTTCCTCCTTTTTTTTTAGGGAGGATGGAGAGGGAGGAAGAAGCGCCACGGATGGTCTTCACGCCTGTTTTAAGAAGCAACTCTCGGCGCTTCATCCCCGTGTAGCATAACCCACTCCTTCGATTTTTATGGCCATTATAAAAACGAAAATCAAGCAGCGGGGGAGGGGGAGGGGGAGGGGCGGGGCACGGCGGTTACGCCGGCCGCCCGTTCCATTGTTTTAGATGCTGATTTCCAAATATGATTCATCGACCATTCGCCAGCTCCGAGCGCTATGGTCGCCGCCCCGGTCTGGCTCGGGTTTTCGACCCTCGCGAGCACTCGGGCATCGCTTCCTCCCGGTATTATTGAAACTTACGTGAAATTATTCCCGCGGTTCCATGGCCGCGACGAGCCCGTAATATCTCGGTTAAACGGCGGCGTCCGTAAAAAGAAGGAAAAACCGGCGCGGTCCGGGAGCCAGCGCGGCCCGATCGGCGAATAAAACGGAACGCGCCATAAAGATAAACGAAGGCAACTATGACCCATCACAACCACCGCCGACCAATCGCCCAATTGAACGCGCTCAGTGCATAAACAGACAAAAACAAACAAAAAACAAAAATAAAAGCATAAAAACACAAAAAAAAAAAAATAAAAACAAAAAACCAACACACAAAGACACAAAAAACAAAAGAACAAAAAAAAAAAATACCACAAAAACCCACCAACCCACAAACACAAAAAAACACCTAACCTTCTCTGTCGGATCTGTCGTACAATTGTCAAACGTCGTTGTCTGACTCCACCACATCTAAAGTTGGGAGCACCAACAAGACGAAAGAACAAGCCGAGCAGCTAAAGCAAGAGTTCAACCAAACTCTCAAACTGGAGCCAACAACAAATCAAGCCAGCCAACCAAGCAACCCATCCAAACGCCAAATACAAGCCGGTGCCCAAGCCACCAAGTGCCCAGCAGCCCTACTGCATCCCGGCACCATTACTAATCTCTTCTAGTATATTTCCGCGCCAGCAGCGGAGGAGCGCTGCCTGGACCTATGAATACAAATCAGAGGATCCTCGAGGTGGTGTCCAGTGCACTGGGGTCGTGGTGGGCGGTGGGGTCGGTGATGGCAGAGGTAGGACAAGCGGTAAAGCGAAGCAGGCGCGGAGGTCGGAAGGGCCCGCCACTCTCCCTGTACCTCACCTGTACCTTCAAATTCGGCTTGAGTGTTACCATCGGCTTTCACACCTAGCGGAGACATCTCCATACGTAACTGAATTAAGGAACGTCTCCAGCAACTCTGGGGAAACGAACGAAGCTAAACACGCTATTAACGGTACACAGAGAGGAAGAATGCAATACATATAGAATGAGAGAAAGAAAGCCGGAAAATGAGAGAAAAAAGAGAGGAAAACTAAGAAATGAAAGGAGAAAGAGAAATTAAAAGATACGAAGACGAAAGAGAATATGAAGAGAAAGAAAGGAAGAGAGAAAATGAAAGAAGAAAGAAAGGAAGAGGAAGTGAAGAGAAAAGAAAATGAAGCAGAGAAAGGAGGGAGGAAATAAGAAAGA